TTGCTGTTGTTGTTGTTGTTGTTGTTGCTGTTGCTGTTGCTGTTGCTGTTGCTGTTGCTGCTGCTGTTGCTGTTGCTGTTGCTGTTGCTGTTGCTGTTGTTGTTGTTGTTGTTGTTGTTGTTGTTGTTGTTTGTTGTTGTTGTTGTTGTTGTTTGTTGGTGTTTGTTGTTGGTGTTGGTGTTGGTGTTGGTGTTGGTGTTGGTGTTGGTTGTTGTTGTTGTTGTTGTTGTTGTTGTTGTTGTTGTTGTTGTTGTTGTTGTTGTTGTTGTTGTTGTTGTTGTTGTATGGCCCCACCCCACCCCCAGAATTCATTTTTTGGTTTCTTCAAGTCCGCCACACATACCAAGCAAAGTTGAAGCATTTGGCTTCAGCCACTCTAGTAAGCTAGGCGGAGTAATATTCCCACCCTTTCCTCAAAAGTGGGAGAAGTGGGGAGCATTGGGAAAGTCCTGGACAAAGTACATTCTGCCCTCCACCACAAGAGGGAGGTATGCCGCTAAACTGCCCAGGCGTTGCCCTGGCCAAAGAAACGCATCCACACATTGACACGTCATCGCCCCGAGTGACACAGGACAAATGGGACCTCGAAGCCCATGTCCGCTTAGGGACAATGCCCCTAAGCGGACACAGAAACAAATCAAAGTTAAGAGCGTGGCAAGCCGCGACGAAATACAACGAACAGCCACGAGCAAATCACATCAAATCACGAAACACAAGGTGCCCGCACAAGCCTTTGGCGTGGCGCACTGCATCAAGAAAGCCACAAAATCACTGTGGCGGCGCGCTGCAAAGGCCTCAAAATTGCTGGGGCCCTGGGTCGCTGAAACCGTATTTCCGGACAATGTGCAAAAAATGGATCGGAAACCGCATTTCCGGACATTTGTTCGGAAACCATTGTTTGAGCCGGCTTTTTGGGCAAGTGGGTCGCATCAAGCAAGGCACAGTAGTAATGTAACAGTGAATTGTATCAAACAAGCTGCAAGACCACTGTGACAACGGCTCGCATCCAAACAAAGCAACGAGGCCATATTGCACTAGGCCCGGTACTGTGAACAGGCCAGGCCCCGGCTTCACCGGTACACCGTGTCCTAGGTCGCAGGATGAGTGCGCGAAGCAGAATGGTTCCAGAAATGCTGGACTTTAAAAAAAGTTGCACGGGGATCAGCTGACCGGAATATTCGAGGCGCTTGCCAAAAAGGCAGAGCCTGTCGACGTGCCGCGAATCCTTGCCACGAGCAAATCACATCAACTCACGAAACACAAGTTGCCTGCGCCGGCCTTTGGCGAGGCGCACTGCGTCAAGAAAGCCACAAAATCACTGTGGCGGCGCGCTGCAAAGGCCTCAAAATTGCTGTGGCCGTGGGTCGCTGAAACATGCTGAAACCGCTTTTCCGGACAATGTGCAAAAATGAGTTAGTCCGGAAACCGCATTTTCGGAAGAGAGGGACTCCTCCGGAAACTGTTTGAGACTGCTCCTCTGGGCAAGTGGGTCGCATCATCCCCAACAACCTAGCGATGTAACAGTGAATTGTATCAAACAAGCTGCAAGGGCACTGTGACAACGGCTCGCATCCAAACAAAGCAACTGGGCCATGTTGCATCGACCCGGCTAGGCCCGGTACCGCGAACAGGCCAGGTCCCGGCTTCACAGGGACACCTTGTCCTAAGGATGAGTGCGAGCGCATTGCGAAGCAGAGTGGTTCCAGAACTGCTGGACTTTCAAAAAAAGTTGCACAGCTCTCCAGCCTAGCCTGGGCTTCATCCTCTGTGCCCAGCCGGCTTGGCCTGGGCTTCGCGTAGAAATGGCAGCCCAAGCTGCTCGAGACCAAAAGGTTCAATGGTCGACTCGCTTTGGGCAACTGACTTCAATACCTAAGCCGGAAGCAAGGTAACTGGGACCTTCATCACGGGTGAGCTCATTTTACCACTAGCAACAAACGCAACTCACAAATGACACCTTAAGGTCCTTTAAGTTGGACTCATCCCCAGTTGCCCAGCACACAGGGGAACCCTTGTTGGGGTCAAGTTGTCATGAAACAAAGGGGACCAAACCTCAAGAAGGGAACAAAGGAACCACTGAACAACTAACAACTGAAACCCACATCCTCTTTAAGTTGACCATGCAAGGAACTGGCAAAGGAGGCTCAAGCAACTGTTTGAGCTCTGGTTTCAACGCATTTGGGCAGATCATGATTAAGCGCCGTTTTGAGAAGGAATCGAAAAGGAGACGGCCGCACTCTGGCCCTTGTTCAAAACGGAAATTGAGAAGGACTGCCATATGTCCCGCCCAACCCATGGACAGACAGTGGCCCTGAGCCTTCCGCAGCCATGATAATGTCAATGAACAACAGCAGCTTCTGCACGTTTATGCATTTCGCGCGCCCCTCATTCAAAGGCGCCATCATGCGCCATCCCCTGCCCGGTATTTGGCATCCCCCCTGACCATCCCCCGCCGGAGCCGGACACCGAGCCCCAGTCTCCGCCATATTCCGCCATAGCAGGTCGGGGAGGATAAAACTAAGCTCGAAAGGCCTTCCCTTTCATGTTGGAACACAAGGATGGTTCGGACGGCCCTCGCATAGATAGGCGCACAGATAACCACGCATAACCACACGCGCGTGCTACAATCACATCGGCAAGGTGGCCTGCAAAGTGCCTCCGAGTGAATGGCTGAGTGATCTGATGACATCTGCAGGTGGATTTGGGCCAGGTTGAGAGCTTGCTCTAATATGATACCCAAGAAAATGCATTCTGTAAAAACATATGTGGACCTTACCCCCCCCCTCAGAATTCATTTTAAGGGTGGGGCCATTTTGTTGTTGTTGTTTGATTGATTGATTGATTGATTGATTGATTGATTGATTGATTGATTGATTGATTGGTTGTTTGTTTGTTTGTTTGTTTGTTTGTTTGTTTGTTTGTTTGTTTGTTTGTTTGTTTGTTTGGTTGGTTGGTTGGTTGGTTGTTTGGTTGTGTGTTTGTTTGTTTGTTTGTTTGGTTGTTTGTGTGTTGTGTGTTGTTTGTTTGTTGTTTGTTGTGTATTTGTTGTTTGTTGTTTGTTGTGTGTTGTGTGTTGTGTGTGTTGTTTGTTGTTTGTTGTTTGTTGCTTGTTGCTTGTTGCTTGTTGTTTGTTGTTTGTTGTTTGTTGTTTGTTTGGTTGTTTGGTTGTTTGGTTGTTTGGTTGTTTGGTTGTTTGGTTGTTTGGTTGTTTGGTTGTTTGGTTGTTTGGTTGTTTGGTTGTTTGGTTGTTTGGTTGTTTGGTTGTTTGGTTGTTTGGTTGTTTGGTTGTTTGGTTGTTTGGTTGTTTGGTTGTTTGGTTGTTTGGTTGTTTGGTTGTTTGGTTGTTTGGTTGTTTGGTTGTTTGGTTGTTTGGTTGTTTGGTTGTTTGGTTGTTTGGTTGTTTGGTTGTTTGGTTGTTTGGTTGTTTTGTTGTTGTTGTTGTTGTTGTTGTTGTTGTTGTTGTTGTTGTTGTTGTTGTTGTTGTTGTTGTTGTTGTTGTTGTTGTTGTGGGGGGGTCTCTTTGCGCTTCTCCGCTGTTTACCCAAAACAAGGTTGAAACACCCTCGAACAAAAACAGGGTTGCTCCGCCCCTGTCCAAACGGTACACAAACTCCAGGGCAGAAACTGCATGGAGACCAAAAAGTTTTGCACCCTCAGGCTTGGGCTCACTGTTTGCTAGCTTGAAGCAACCCAGCAAAGGTTACCCCCTACTCAAAATACCCGCTGATTTCATTGCCTTTTTAAGTATTGCCTTTTTAAGTAGAGGGTCGACATGATACCCTGAAAAAAAAGTATTTGGAGTAAGGGCGACGCTGAAAAAAGGGAAGAACCCCAGCAAAGCCAGCAACTCCACGTGCCTTGCTGGACCTTCCAGTGGCGGCGCACACGCGGTGGTCCGTCTTGGCGAGAGAAGTGCTTGGTCCCACGAAGGGGTTCTCTTACAAGACGGAGGGCCTTTTGAGGGGGCTTCTTTCTAAGGGTCTTTGTGTTCCACTCTGAGATTACGCCCACTGGGAAATGACCCCATTTAGGCATATTTAGGCACATGTCCGGGATCAAATCATGTTGTTTTGGACCATTTGGGCCCTTTCCGAAGGGTGTGAAACACAGATTCCTGTGAGAGTTTCCATCAACAGATCCTGCACATGTGCGCTTCATTGTCTTCCCAAAGGGGCTGAGAAACTGCCATGTAGGAGCATAACACACTACTTCGCCGGAGATTTGGTGACTTGGATGTGCCTTCAACCTCAACAACAAGCAGAGACTGCGCGGGCCACGCAGGTTAGGCACCGCAGTTTAGGCAAATGTGATGACGCCCTGGAACGGAAATGGCGCGACCCCATCCTTCCCTTGAAAAAACATGGCATGTCTCGGCTCTCGAATGAAAATGCGTGGACAACTTGCATGAGATCCACCACCAAGTGCGGAGCAAGTATGTGCTGTTCAAATGCCTGCATAAACCGCAAACAGCAGACACAGCAAGCTGCAAGTTCGAGCTCCGAAGCCGCAGTAAGGGGGATCTCCAAAGGGACCTGCATGCTGGTGAACGTGTCCACTATATTGGCAGGAGCAAAACTCCCTGGGAATGCGCCCCCGTCCACAGGAATCTCGTGAAACATGGTAGCAGCTACAGTAGCTACTCAACCAGTAGCAAACGAAGCACGTTTCCCATGGCTACAAAGGCATGAAAGAACATTGGGCCTGCCGGCGGAACTGACTACTCCAGCCTTCGCCTTGAACTAACATATGTTCTCACCCCCAATCACCAGCCTGAAGTGAAACCACATGATTCCTCAAAGGATACCTCCAACAAGGGAATCCGCTGGACTGGATCAGCCGGTATTTGGGCTCTTCTCTAACTGGCCCACTGTGTCCTTTACTGGGCTGTCTTCAGATCCCCTGCTGCAAGTTTAACCCACTAAGCCCTAAGAGCTTGCACCCACTAAACCCTAACAGCTTGCAAAGCTAACAAGATGGCCGGGAACCGCCGCGTTCAAGGACCTGTTCCAAACAGTGTTTCAAAGCAAGGAGATGGCAGGGGCACTTCTCTCGGTTCTCGGCAGCTTATTTCAAAGCACGCTGGTCTCCGCGCGGTGACTCGACCATCAGATCGCATCTGGTGAAGATAAACAGGGTTGCTCCAGAAGCTCACTTCCTGCGAATTAAGAAGTGCAGAGACCTGAAAGAAGCGGACGGGCCCGAGATCCCGAGAGGCAGATCTCGGCATGAATAGGGGCTCTTGGAACCAATTAACATGGAACCTGACGGCGAGAATCCTGATTTGGACCATGTTCCTTTTAAAGGGGCCGGGTCCTGCCTAGACTTGCCGTTTCGCATTTCCGAAAGAAGCTTTTCCCCTTCCCAACCTTCCCCGCTCAAAATTTCTTCTGCTCACCCCCCCCCCCCCGCCGTTCCCACCCCCCCTCACCAATGTCTGCTGGCCCTAAGATCCTTTCCGGCGGGCCTTGAAATTTCTTTGGGGTTCGTCGGCGTCCAGCTCCTTTAAACTCACCAATTGGAGCTCCTCATGCCCAGCCCAGCCCTCAGGGAGGCCCGCCAACCAGCTGTCTGGCAGGAAAGGAATGGACACGTCAAACAAACCAGCCTTCTCTCAACCTGTTCTGAGACTAGACTCACGTGTCTGAGACTAGCCTCAGGCCCAGTCTCGCCGCAGGCCCAGCCCAACCAGCAACCACCCAAGCAAAGCACATCCCAGCCAGGCCCCCCACCAACCAACCCAAGCAAGACCCAGCCCAGCTCGCCCTGTGCCTCGGGGATTCCTGCGGGCGCATGACATCAACTTGTCCAACAACGCCAGAACCTGTCCATGCCTGAATCGCCACTTGACCAGCTCTGCTGCTTGCAGTCGAACCACAGACGCTGCGCGCTCGGCTTGGCCGAGGCGGGCAAGCGCAGCGTTTACAATTATTTAAACCATCCTTTCTTTGCATCATGTCAAGGGAAATTAAGTTATGGGCTATCTTGCAATCTTGCATGCGAAGTGAAACCAATTAACCAAAACGAAGAAAGGTTGCGTGCGCCAATTTGTGCGATGTGTTGGTGCATCCAACACCCGTCAAGAACCCCCCGTAAAATGGGACACCCCAAAATAATCCACCGCGTTTACTCAGTAAATCCTGGGCTGCCATTGCCTCATCATTACTGGGGTGCCTCTGCAGGGGTTCCTCTAGTGGGACCCCGCGACTTAAGGGGCTCCATCCTGGGGCTCCGCAAAGTGAAGCCAAGCCCTGCGACTGACTGAAGGCATCCTTTGGCCACATCGGCCGCTTCCTTAGCAAACATCCACCTCAGTACCTGCGGCACAGCTAGTGACTACCTGCAGCGTATGTTGGAGTATTTGCATCTTCTCCGATGTTCCAAAAGCAGTGATTGATCCAGGATATGTTAGGGTGGTTCGCCGCTCCTTGCAACTGCATTCCCATTTGCTACGGCAAGTCGTTCTATTTGGGCAGGTTTATGGCCAAGAATGCACCGTGTTGTGGCCAGCATGGGCCGTGTTTGAAGGCTACCCGTCAAAACGGTTCTTGAAGGGAAGAGCCAGGGGACATGGAGCACCCATTTCGCGGGGCCCCGCATAGTTGACGCATGGGGCAAGCGAATTTTTCTTTTGGACAAGCGGGACCTCCCAAAAAAAATCGGTGACCTAAGAACCGGTGCAATGGCAAAGTGCGAGAGAAGCAAACAGGAATCCAACGACTCCCGCTGTCCACCCGAAAGCAGCACATGCAAACATCACCCAAGAGGGCATGCTTCAGATGTTCTCAAGGGGTTCTACCACATTTGGGTTACAAAGACAGATCTCTAAGTGGCGCTTGCTGATCCCCCCCCCACAACGCGAAAATAGGAAGTGGAACCGGCGGTCTGGCCATCGGCTGGTACTTGGAAAGTTGCAGAGTTCAACCCCGCAGCCCTCTCATGGACCCCTCTGACCAAACACAGCCTTTTGGGGGGCGGGGGAGCCGTTTTAGTCAGGGGCCCCAAAGAAGTTCTTTATTACAAGGGTTTCCAGCTTGCCTCATTTTCGCCCTGTACCCTCCCTCCAAACATGGCAACTGACAAGGGCTCCCCTCAAAAGGACATGAATCGTCCAGGTACCTCCCCACAGGTGCCATGTTAGTTGGAGGAAAGGTATCCGATTTCGGATCCAATTTCCAGGTCATCCTGGAATCCCCGCCTCGAACTGTACATTGGATCTCCGCGTCCTGAAAAAATGCTTTGCCACCCAACCCGGACTGCAGAATCCCAATGCGCAATGGAAACGACCAATCCCAACCCTCTGAAGCACTGGACCTATGGACTTTCCACAATTAGTAATCGCCTCTCAGTTTCCACTTTAAGCCATGTGCAAACTGGTTTCGAGGCGCGCATAAATGGGGCGGGATGATGCGTTCAGCCTAGAAGCTTCTATTTGGGATGGATTCAAAAGGAGCCCAAGAGGAAACCTTCCCGGGGTTGCACTCCGCAAAAAACAAAAACTGAGATTCCTCTATCAATGAATCTGGTTGAATTCTGTGAATCTGCAGGGGTGTAGCTCTTCAATCCTGACTGGGTGGGGCGAAGGGCTTGAGGACACCCTTTGTGATTTAATCTGTGTTGGGTGAAAGTGGACGGCCCACTTCTTACAGAGGCATGGCAAGACCAAATTGCACGCGACCAACCAGCCAACCGGCTGGTAGTTTCGCCTGAAATTCGTGCCCAAAAAGCATGGCACCATGACCACTGACAGAAGAAATCAGGTTACGTCATGCTTCGCTGGACCAAGTCGCCAATAGCCGGGGCTGACTGATCCTAGATGGGCCACCTTTTAACACTGTCTTCCAACACAGTGCAATACTAGGTCCTCCTGAGAGGTTAGAATAAGGGTAACCTGTTTTCTGGACGTCTATCTTAGTAGGGGAACCCTCCAGCCAAAAAGGGGTGAGAAAGGGCACTACTGAAAAAACTTGAATATGTGAGCGGCCCTTTGGCTGCAATGCCTAGGACGGCTGCTCACAGCAGCCTACTTTGCGTTCACAAGAGTTCCCAACTAAGTGGTGCTGCGCACAAGAATCTTGCTGGTGCTCAGGGAAGGACCATCCGGGTGTTGGGAATGAACCTAGGGGTTCTCCAAAAGCAACCAGCAAGTGATGGGTTGGTGAGGTGTGGCCGAATCTCAATGGTTACAAGGAAAGCTTCCTCCTGCATTCGCCAGCGAGATCCAGTGAGCAAAACCCTGATTCTTCAATTGTCTTGCGACTCGGACAACATCTTGGCGCAAAGTAGCCCAACCTAGTTCGCATCTCACTTCAGCGGGCATTCCCTTAGCCACACAGGCAGCCCTAAAAACCAATATCCACAATCATGCAATGGAACAAGATATCGCACTCTCTTCTGGGGACCTGTCCACAGCACCAAGTCCCCAGACCAATTGAGCAGCGCCCTAAACCTCATTATGACGCATGCGTCCTACTACCATGGCACACAGGTGTATTTCATAGGCTTTGACCCCAAATTGTAGAAGCACGTCGTAAAATGGAGGCTTTGGGCGCTGCTGAATGTCCACCTGGGCCGCCCTGCGGCTGAGGTCGCTCAATTCGCCTCTGGCAGATCATCGATCTCCATCGGCCTTGGGTGGTTCGGTGACTCGGTGCCCCAGTTCCATTCAGTCCCTTAACGCATGGGGAGAATGGAAGAGATGGAATCACTACATAAATCTACAAACAGTAGCTAGCAACGACAAGTTCACACAATCATCCAATGTTCAATCCCGGAAGTGTACATTCAATGACGCATCAGTTGAATCAACCTGCATGTAGTCGACCAGTGGAATCAACTGAAGCCAAAGACCACCCCCCTCCCCCAATGTCATCTCTGAACGGCCGCAAAATTCCGAAACCCCAACTGGAAACCTTCGGAAAGATGACCTAATTACAGCTCATTTGGCTCCAGCAACTGGCTAAAGCGCTCTGGCTCTCGCTCTCTCTCTCCCGCCCGCTCTCTCTCCCTCTCTTTCTCTCTCTCTCTCTCTCTCTCTCTCTCTCCCTCTTTCTCTCTCTCTCTCTCTCTCTCTCTCTCTCGCTCTCTCGCTCTCTCGCTCTCTCGCTCTCTCGCTTTCGCTCTCTCACTCCCTCTCTCGGTAACTCGGCAAGAACAGCAGTTACTTTTGCTTGAGCCACCTGGAAAGAACAGTATGTCCAGCACTGGTAGATTGCCTTTCAAACCAACAAGGATTTGTTTTACACAAAAACAGCACATTCTTAAGCAGCTGGAAGATAGCACCAGGTTTGCAAACTGATTGGAAGACAGAGGGTTGGGGGCGCTGCTAACATGCACCAATGACTACGCCATGTTTGACCAAGAGGGAATAGTAATCTGCATGTCATGGCAATACTCACCAAGCTTAAGTACGGTACCCTCATCTGCCCAGCCTCATTGCGTCACACCCCACAGCAACAACTACGCTCAAATAAGATTTGGTTTGGGGGGTGTTCCTGCATTCCCTAACCAAAAGCAATGGACACATGGCCACATCCACGGCGGGCAACTGTCTCTGACTCAAAGTCTCCAGTATCGCCCGGTGAGACACCAAATAGACCCCCAAGCTGCCCGGCCTTGGTGATGAATTCACCGGCGACAGGCCTAGGTTCGAAGACAAAAGTGACGTTGATTCCCAACGATGACTATGCTGCCAACCCGGAAGTGCACAGGCCCTAAGGCTGCTTTCAGGCTTCCGAGGTGCAGTTTTATGTTAGCGTTATCGCTTCAAAGGGAATTCCGTTGGTACAGACAGGGGGGCCAACCCCCGTGCCGGGTAGGCGTGATTAGAGCACCAGTTTGCTTCATTACGTCCATCAGTTCTGCTGGGCAAATTCGCCGGCTCAGACTCGCCTTCTGGCCACACACACACGGAGTCCAGGACAATCCCAAGATCGAGAAACTCAGGGAAACCACTTCGTGGCGTGTGTGGAAAGGAAAGAGGCAAGTTCGCGGCTGGCAAAGCATGTCTAGGTGGAAAACTCGAAGAACGCCATCAAGTTCACGGTGTGAAAGGCCAAAAGCGCAAAGTGCAAACATCACCCCTATGAAGCGAAGCTCAACTGAAATGAGCAAAAAAAGAAAAGGGGCTGCTTAAAACCAACAGTTTTGGATATGATATATATATATATATATATACCAAAAAGGGATATGACATATATATATATATATATACACATATTTAGGGACTCCTGTATAAGGAATTCTGAGAATGGCGTCGACGAGTGCTGAAAACGCCATGGCCGCTGGCCTCCAGCCAAACCGGAGTCTCCTCCAAACCTGTTTCTAGGTCCTCCAGATTTGAGAGGTTAGAATAAGTTGGTACCCGGTCTTTTTCAGTAGTCTATTTTAGTAGGGGAACCCAAAACCCCAAAAAAGGGTGAAAGGGCACTACTGGGGGACCTAGGTTTCGTAGTGTAAACTCATTGTTGAACAGAATCAGAACATGTTGGTCCTTAAAGAGCCCTAAAAGGGTGCCAACTTTGAACAATCAAAACCCGGCCTGACAGTTGGGAGGCCGGAGAAGAACCAATTCCAACTCTCTTCACTCTTGCGGGCTTCGCGGATTTGCGGGGGAACGATCGGGATACCTAGCATCGCTGCTAAGTGCTTGAGTCGGTTGGGCTGTTCGTGCCATGGCCACATGGAACCAGGCACGTGCAGGCAGCGCCCCCGTCAGCGGGCCATACTTCTGCGCCACGCCTCGCTGGATTTGTCTACTTTGGATTGCTGAAGCTGGTGGGTGCTGATATGCCGCTGGCATGCTGCCTTTCGGCTGCCGGCGCCTTTGGTGAAGTGCTACCTGCATCATTGGTGAAGTGCTACCACCTGCACAAAACAGACTTGCACACGCACAACGCGTTTCTTCATGGTGCACTGCACGTACTATGTCCACACTCTTTGGGATTGTGCGGTTTTTGCCGAGCTTTCGGATGTTCCGGCTGGAGAGACTGCCAGAGTGGATCGATAGGCTGCTGTTGCCCGATGCGAAAAATATGTGCTGAAGCCACCCTGTTGCCGCTCACACTCGGTCTCACCGTATTACGGCTTTGCGGCATGAAATTTGCTGGCTGCTGATGGATGGACCTGCAGTTTGGTGTGACCAACAGGATAAGCCACCGTGTCCTGTGGCTTTGGGAGTCTCCCACAAGATTCACCACGAATATGGAAAGGGGGAGCTCAATGCAATGGCTAACTTGCATGGAAACGCCATGAACACTGCCCAAATGAACGGTGAGCTTCGGCTTCTGATGCTGGTGTTCGCCGGATGGTTTACAAAAGTGGGCCATCCCTGCAACCTTTGCACCAAACCATATCTTGCACAACCATGCACTTGGTTACCGTACATGATGCAAGAAAAGTTCAACCACCTCCACAGCCTGGTGATGGGTTCCTCGTCAAAGCGATCTTTACAAACTTTCGAGTTTTTGTCACGGCGAAAAAGAACAAAACACTCAAACTAGTTGCTGCACGGCTTACCTGCTTCGTGAAAGGTTTTGGTGCCCAAGTTTTAATGCAGAATCACCAACACAAAAGGCACGTGTTTTCGACAAGACTGGAACATTTCCCAATCCAATATCAAGTCACCAAAGGGCCTACTAAGCCCCTGACCTTTGCGCATGAGGGGATAGGGACCAAAGCTGCCCAAGACCCCACTCAGGTCGCGGCTGGGCGGCGAAGCTTCCCTCGCACCTCGAAAGCCTCGCCCGGGCGAATGATCATGACAATTCTTGGTTGCAACGACCCCTCTGCAAAAAGTCGAATCACTTTTTGTGGGTGTTCGGAAAACCCAACTTGATTTCAACCAAACAGTTAAAGTCTAAAGATCCAACCCAATAGCAGTCAAGAATTTGCGATGGGAACTCATCGCTTCCATTGGCGAATCGTGCCTCGTGCCTGCTCACAACATTCTGAGGCGGATGTTTGCTCAGGCAGTGCCTTCATGAACAAATCCAATGATTCTCCATTGCTTCATTGACCCCTGTAGAAAAGGGCAATGGGATGATTTCTTTGAGGTTGGCGAATCGAATCCGGGACCTGAAGAACCAACAGGGACAAGGAAAAGTCGGATGCGGCTTGCGAACTGGGTGGTTTTGCAGACGTGCCAAATTTGGTGTTTAAACCACCAATTTTGGGTGCCTACTGTACAGAATGGAACCCCTGCTTGGAACATAGAGGTTCGATGCTTCAGTTGCTTGGCCCAGCTGGCCTGGAATGATCCATTTCATGTTTTTTTTCTGATTGGAATGCAGCTGTAGTCGATCCAGAGCCTAGCAAACTTCAAATTCAACCTATGCCAATCCCAGCATCATTGTTGGCTGTCCAAAACAACGCACTGGCCTTCAATTTCCAGCCAAGAGTCGGGCATACCAGGCGCTTGTTTCAAACAGGAAACCCTTAGTTGCATGGTTCGAAGGACACAAACAATCAATCAACCAGCTGCAGGCATCGACCCCGGCCTCGCCTTACCCTTTCTTTGCTAACATGGTGCTGTTACAATCTGACGTAACTTGGCTTCAAAGCACTCCACAACCAATGTCTAAGTATTTAACCCCTAGTACGTTGGACAGGGCTTAAAATAAATTGCGATGCAAGCACGAGCGGGCACCGAGCTTCCCTGGCAAAAACAACAAGTTGAAGGCAAACAACTTATAAGTGCATGCACAAGAGGGCTTGGAGACCTACTTTCGAAACATCATGGGGCGATTTAGCCTGTCAGAAGGGCCTGAAAGAAGTGTCGTCTCTGGCGATGCAAAGCAGCGGCACTCAACCACTCGCAATCTGCAGGGTTCTGGCCATCTGAGCGAACCAACTTCCCAGTCACTACCACTCCCCTTGCAAGCCACTAGCGTGGCGTGGGACAAGACCATAGCACTGACAACAATCTTCCCAATGAATTCCCCCTCAGAGACTCCGGAAATGACAGAAGCTTTTTCCTCTGACGTGTCTTTTTCGGTGTCCCCGGGCTTTCAATTCCTTTGACTCCAAGCAGGGAATCCAAAAACCAGCAGAATCTCAACCGGATCAAGTTGAGTCTACATGTTTTGGTGTTGTAGCTGCTGTAGCCTACCCCTTGTGACAAACCTCCACGTCTTGAATGGAGCGACAAAGAGCAACTTAAAAGCAGCAGCCACGGAGTCGAAGCCAAGGCACCATCGTCGCGTTCCGGCAAAGCGCGCCGGGCCTCTCGAGGGCAGAATGCCCTTTGTGTGGGGAGGCTGTGGCAACAAACAAGTGGCAACCACAATGGGAACTTGGTATGTGGAACAAAGTAAACTGTTGTATAAGTAATAACTCCCTGGGAACAACGTAAAGAAACTACTTCTGACCCTCTGTTCCATACCAGAGCAAACTGTTGTATGTTGGTATGGGAACTACTTCTCCTAACTCCCCTCTTGAATTTTGGAGACACACCCAGGGACCCAAGGGAAACGCCTGACATGATTCAAAGACACCACAATAGAACCAAACCGGAGCCACTGTGATCTACATTCCACCAAGCCGACCGAAAAGGACATATGAGATCCTAGCCTCTGGAAGCCAGGTTGGCTTTTGGAAGACACTCCAACTAATTCGGAGCCCTGCAAAAACATCATGGTTGCCTTCAAATTTGCTTTGAAGGCCTGAACCCAGCTTCATGCTTTCTGTTCTTTTCTCTTTCCCCGAGAGGAGAGGTAAAGTTCGTGTCCCCTGGTTCGGACATTTTCGCAACTTCCCCCTTGTCCCTCCCGTTCAAGATGGACGGCCGCGAACGGGAGAGCATCTGCATCCCGCAACTCGAAAAAGCGATGACAGTGGTTCTTCTCAATGCACGCAATCACAAGAAAAGGCGACCAAAGCGCGCGGGATTGAATTCACTCTGGCCTGGAGCTGTTGTCGTTCGCCCAAAATGGCATTTCAAGTGCGAATGGCACAGGGTATGGCATGTGGGGAGGACCCTTGATGACCCTTGATAGTCCTTTTTGCCCCCCCATAGTCGCGCTTGCTATGGCTCCCCTTGCTATAATATTGACCCCGATTAATAAGCCTCTGTTTATTAATATGGGGGTGTTCCCCTCCAAAAGTGATGATTCCCACTAAAACCAGGAACACCCCCATATGAATATTTGCAGGAGTTTATTAATCCGGGGTCCGCGTTAACTCTGTTCAAGTGAGTTAAGGGCACCTGGATGCCAGCGGCTGCCCGTTGATTGGTTCCCAAAGCCCGCACTCCCAAAGCGAACCAAACCTCAGGCTTGGTCCGTTCAAAGGCCCAAAGGCTCGTGGATTCATATATGCTCCATTCGGAAAAATGAGACGCTTCATGAAAATGCACCACACAGTCTTCAAGCCACTCATCTGCAAGTTTTACTCTAATTCCAGAAGCTGAATTAAGGGATCCCCAGAGCAAAAGATCTTTCTCATGGTGAGCTCGTTGTACCCCCAAGTCGGTGAGCTCGCCTTAGAATAGGCACACTCATTTCCCCGTTTCGTTCAGCTTCCCACGCACCCAGCCTTTGCCTGCGGCGGTGTGGATGGACCTGGACGGGCACTGCCGTGAAGGATTTTTTGGAGATACCGTTGACATCAAAAGGTTTGGGGGGTCCAGGTCCAAACATTTAAGGAAACCGCCAGTTTGCGGGGGTCCAAACAGTTTGACACATGCCCAGGGTAACAGCAGATGGATGCCGCCAGTTTGGGGGTTCCGTTCTTTTTGGCGCAGCAATGGCATTGTTTGTTCATTTCCTGAGCCAAACGTGAGGAATGACTATGAGTGGCCTGGTGCTGAGGCCCTCCAATCCAATGGCTCCCCTTGCGTTGCTATGTCAGTGGAATGGTGCCCTCGAAATCGTGGCTTCCTTGTCGTGGATATCCTATCAAACCGCCGACGAAAAAAGCAGCCTCAAAAAGGACAAACAAATGGCTTCGCAACTTGCAAAGCCTCGCTCAAAGGACCAAGAAGAACCTGGGCAATTAAAGGGGATGATTGAGCGAACCCTTTTCTAAGATGGCTTGCACCGCCACACTGGCTCCGCTGGAAATGGGATATGGAAGCATTATCTCACCACTATGTCGGGGTTTGTTCCCAGTTTCCCTTGGGCATGGTTACGGGAAATAACAATAACACCTTCTGCGATGGGTAGCTTGAAATGGGGGTAGTGGAAACCATCGTTTCACTCTTTTCAGAATGTAGCGCGAGCTCAGCTCTTCGGATTGGTGGGAACCATCTTAGCGGCCCAAAACGGGAGACCGACCTCTGGCCCACGTGGCGTCCAAAAGCGACGAGCCTGGCCACTCACGCCGTCGTAGCTCCTGAGGACCATTCAGCACATCGCGCATTTTCGATCCATTGGGTTGGCAACAAAAAGCTTGCTGCTTCGATAGGCAGGCAGTGAATGAGACATGGAATGACCAAATCCGATTTCCTTTGAGAGAAACCCAGGGTCATTCCCTACTGGGCAGCAAGGACAACTCCTGGAACTTGATGTTTACCTCTCCAGTACTAGGTCCTCCAGTAGGGAGTTTAAAATGGCTACCCTTCTTTCTGTAGTCTATTTGATTAGGGGAACCCTCCCCCAAAAAAGGGGTAAAGGGCACTGCTGGACCTAGACTAGACTGGTTTCCCAAAAGACTGAAATGCAAGCTCAGGGCGTGAGATGATCTTAACTATGCACTTCCAGTTCCTGCTGGGAACATCCCCCAAAAATGGGGGGAATTTCATCAATGTTGGCCTTGCTTGGATTGGGATTGGTTGGAACCAGGGATCTGAATGTCCAGTTACCTTTTGAACTTACCTGAAAACCACCAACCCAAGCCGGGGCTAAGGATATTGTTGGGTGTTTTTTGCGCCTTTGCTGGCTATGTGGGTTTTCTTGAGGAAACCGATGCCCGAGTTGAGGATTCGCCAATGAACAAGTGTTAGACACCGTGCAGGGCAACAAATGAAGCAAATGAGTTCACTGCTGGGGCATTTCACGTGCTGCCTAGAAAATAGCCAGGCTCTACTTGAGGTTGGACATGATACGAATGCACTCAAACAAGACGAGGGAGGGAGAGAGATATCAAGTCGAATCACGTGCTTGACGTGCATCCAAAAGTGACAGTTAAATGCGAATGCCCCCCAATGCTCCCTATCGACCAGTACCTCAGCTCCACATCATGTTGCATTTACCTAGGGCAAACCAGGCAATTTCACAGATAGAGGCCCGCTGAATGGATGTGAATCGCCCACAATTGTGTTGGCCTGCGCCAAAAATGATTCAGATTCATTCCGCTTCATTCATCTCCAGAGT